GAAGGCTCGAACAAAGATTGGTGGCAATTAGACGTGGCAGTGATGGTAAATCTAAGTTTTCAGGATTTAGGTTTATTTTTAGGGAAAAAAGTTTTTTTTTTTTAAAAATTTAAGCGGATATATTTTAAAAGAAAATTAAATGGGTGTTTGGTTTACAGAATTTTAGATTTCGAGAAGGAAAACGATTTAAGGAGAAAGTGATATTGAAGAGGAATGTGTAATTCATGGGTTTTATTGGCTCAGAGAATGTAAGATTTTTATATTTGGTTCATAGGAATGTAAAATCACCTAATAAAGTCTTTTATTATATTATCTTTGATAACATGTGAATAACGTGTGACATTCATAATACTAATTGTCCTTATGCAAACAAAACAAAAAGATCAACCTTAAAAAAGTCATCTTTTCAATAAAAAAAATTACATTTTTTTATCTAAGAAATGTTGTTTTTATTGAATTTTAAAAATTTATTTTTCATGCTTTCAACAAAAAGTACGTTTTTATCTTAGAAAATTCATCTTTTCAACGAAGACTATGTTTTTATATTTAAAATGCCAGGTGTTCGGTTTGCAAAATTTTAAATTTCATGAAGGAAAGTGATTTGAGGAGAAAGTGATATTGAAGAGGAATGTGTAATTCGTGGGTTTTATTGGCTTAGAGAATGTAAGATTTTTATATTTGGTTCACATGAATGTAAGATCACCTAATAAAGTCTTTTACTATATTGTCTTTGATAACATGTGATATTCATAATACCAATTGTCTTTATGCAAAGAAAACAAAAGGATCAACCTTAGAAAAGTTGTCTATTCAATAAAAAAATTTACGTATTTTATCTAAGAAATGTCATTTTTATTGAATTTTAAAAAATTTATTTTTCATGCTTTCAACAAAAACTGCATTTTTATCTTAAAAAATTCATCTTTTCAATGAAGACTATGTTTTTATCTTTAAAATATCGAGTGTTTGGTTTACAAAATTTTAGATTTCGGGATGAAAAGTGATTTAAAGAGAAAGTGATATTGAAGAAGAATGTGTAATTCCTGGATTTTATTGGCTTAGAGAATATAAGATTTTTATATTTGGTTCACAGGAATATAAGATCACCTAATAAAGTCTTTTACTATATTGTCTTTGATAACATGTAAATAACGCGTGACATTCATAATACTGATTATCCTTACGTAAAGAAAACAAAAGGATCAACCTTAGAAAAGTCATATTTTTAATAAAAAAAATTACGTTTTTTATCTAAAAAATGTCATTTTTATTTAATTTTAAAAAAATTATTTTTCATGTTTTCAATAAAATTACATTTTTAACAAAGATCACATTTTTTATTTTAAAAACATCATTTTTGTTGAATTATGAAAAATAATTTTTTCTTATTTTCAACAAAACTATTTTTCTAAAGTAAACAATATTGTTTATATAATTTAAAAGCATAAGGGCAAATCATAAAAAAATGTTACTTTCCTTCCAAAATTTTAAAAAACCTCAAGGAGAAAACAGATTTTTATTCCTCTTCTTTTTCACTTTTTGACACTGTTAAAAATTATTAAAAATTTTAGTAATCGCATTTTTTTTAGCTAAACTAAAAAATTAAATTACAAAAAAAATATTTTAGGAAGAAAAATTATTTTTTCTCAAACTAAACGCCCTTTAAAAAGGTTTCGGGATAAATTTTGATGATATTTCCATGCTGGTGACCTTCGATTGGAGGCGCTTGTGCTATGATCTTATAAGAATCTGTGTTTGATAATGTCAAATATGAATTTAAATTTTTCTAACAATTGCTTTTTTTATTAAAAATTTTAATTATTAAGTTTTTTTACAAATAAAAGGTTAAATTTGATGTGAATTAAAAAGTTAAATCACTTAACATGTCATTAATTTACGTCAGCATAATATTAAATATAAACCAACTAAAATGACAAGGAATCATGTCAATATTTTTAATGATAAAATTTAAATAGTATTAATGATTGGATTACTGTTATTAAATTAAAATAATATAAAAACTACTTTTATATGAATTATAATAAAAAAAATAAATCTCACATTTTGATAAATTACAGAAACTGCTCACATAAATTGACCAATTGTGGATCCATTTGGATCTTACGTATATTCTGGATTTCCTTTAATGTCCGGAGCAAAGGTTCAGTTACCAACATGTGGCATTGTTTAGAAAGCTGAAAAAAAATTTTCATTTCCATGCATGCGTTTGTGTGGTCCTGAACTCAAGGAATGACGCGAAGCTTTTTAGTTACCTTGTTATATTTGTTACTTCCGCCTGTAAGTTGATGCAGAAGTTGGGTTAGTTTGGAAGAAAATTTTGCATTACTGACTAAGTAACCTTGAAAATCGGGTTCCTTTTTCCCTGAACATGCGCGGAGCCACCTATTGAAGAAATTCTGACTGGTTCATTACTCGAGGGCCTGACAAAGATGTTAGATCTTGATGGTTTTTCTCGTGAACAGTTCTTCAAATGCAATCTGGGCATGTACCCTCTTTCTGCTTAACTGCTGAAGGCAGCTTCGTTGTACCCTAACAGTTGATGAAAATGACAATGCTCGAGCTCGAGGAAAATGACCTTATTTCATACATGAAAATTTTTTTCTTTTGGTAGGCCATTCAAATACAAAGTAATGATCAATATGTTTCGTTATGGTAAATTTATTAATAAATGATTGATTATTTGATTAAAGTTTGTTTTATTTAATGAAGAAGTTTTTTATTTAAATTTTATCAATAATTATTTGTTGAGATAATTTTAAATATATGAACTGTAATTATTTATTTTAAATTATCAGATATAATATATTTTATTTTGATATAAAATTAAATAATTTATTTATTTTAAATTTTTTTTTATAAAAAAAAATTATGATAAATTTAATCTTTCATTTGGTTTTTTAAAGTTCTAAATTAAGTGTTCCTACTCTTCTTTTTTTGATATGGCGAAGGGTTAGGGCGAAGGCAAGCCAAACCAATATGACGTTCCTGAAGGAGCAATAATGTGATGAATCGTGGTTGCCACATGGCAGCGCAAGTCAACTAATCTACCGACAACTCTATGCCAAAGTGCAAGGAAAAAACTACTACCGGCACCAAACAGGAATAATGGTTCAACAAGAGTACACGTGCACCAACGGTGTAAAACGATAGTCACAAAGCCCCACCATGCTGTCGTCATGAATAATAATCTTACAAATCCTATGAGTACAAGCTTTGCCGTTGTAAGCGTCCATTTATTTTAGAAGAGGTGAAATAATATTATACTTACTTTTTTATTAAAAAAAACTTTTATCACATATATATTATATATACTAATAAAAAATAATTAAGCACATTAAATATATTAATAAAACCAAGTACATAAATTGTATAGTAAAATATTACTACCATAGCATTAAAAATTTTATGAATAACATTTTTAAATTAATGGTAAAATTATTAAATGTAGTCTTTCAATGATTTGTAGAAATTTTCTTAATTTTTTTATAATTTAAAATTAAAATAAAAGAATATAGATAAATCAATCATTAAATAATATTTTTTTATAAAAACAAGAAAAATAAATATAATTTTAAAATAATGAAGTGGAAATTTTAAGATTAGAAGTTTTGATTTTTTTTCCTATTTTAAAAAAATGTTAGAATCTGTTTTTTTTTTTTTTTTTTTTTTTTTTAAGAAAAGGTTTTAGGATAGCATTAGATAGAAATCTAGAAATTAAAATCATATGAAAATGAGAATTGAAATAAGCTAGAAAAAATAAAAACAAATAATTATTACTTTGTTGGAAATTAAAGTCTTGTTGAGAAACCTAAAAATTAATTTGATTTTTATTAAGTTTGCAAAGTTATGATTTAAATTTTGTGATAATTTTTTATTTTAAAATATTTTTAATGTATTTTTTAATTAATTGGTATAATAAATAGATAAGTAGTAATATGATTTTAATCTCTTCTTAATGGTAATAATACATAAAATTAAATTATAAAATCATAAAAATAATAATTTTAATTTACAGGATCAATATATCGTAGTACTAAAAATTTTAAACTTTAAGAGAGATCAATGTATCATCAAACTCTGATAACACAACCCCGCTCCACATATATGTTTGAGGCGTTTAATAAGGACCAAGGCCTCTCAAGCTTCGACAAGTAACCACCTCTGGCTATTGTTGCCACTTTATTCGTGATTCCTTCCTTGCAAGAAAGTTTTTGATACTGCGAACCCACGTCGTATTGACTGACGGTTTTGAGTAGGTACAACTGACCAAGTAGCTAGCTAGGTGGTGCATTTCACGATCCATTTTTCTCATGATTGAGGCCAATGTAAACAGTTCTGTGGTTGGCGGCTTCAGGTTAACTGACCAGCTCTTTGAAATGTGACTACTCAATCGGATGAAGCAATGATCTGCAACATCATGGCGATGATTTTTTCCATTGTGACAATTCAAACACAAAGTTAAACCACCGTTAACATCAAATAATATTCCTTCTTAAAAATTACATAATAACTGCTCTCAAGTTGTTGGCAGTCTTAAACTAAACAGCTGTTAGCTTGGTTGGTGGTCAGTTTCTGTGACCTAGTTTTATATTATTGAAAGTAATTTTTGTATTTAAAAGTGTGTTTAAGATAAAATTTGTTATATATATATATATCTATATATTTTTTAATATTTTTATTTTTTATAATTTTTTAAATATTTTAATTACTTGTAATATTTTTTTCACAATAATATTAGACACTTAATTTTAAATCTTAATTTTTTAGTATACTTATTTAAATGCACTTTCTTTGGACCTGAACATTTTCGCAAAAACTATTCATGGTTTCAAACAACTGAATGATCCTAATCCTAATCGCATCCATTTCTCTCATTTTTCCCCTTTTCTTTTTTGATTGACTAAAATTGTCTTTCTGTCCCTTCGATAAACTTTGTTGAAACAGCAGAACCGGGGGGGGGCGGGGGGGGGGCAACTTTCCGATAACAGGCAAAGCTAATGCGCGAAATTAGAGCCCGCATCCCGTCCCATGTTGCCACTCCTCCAAACTCCGAAAACCAATCACCTTTCTTCTCGTAAATGACCAAACTTTACGCTTCTTACATGGCAATCAGTTATGGGTCGGTCTTAGGTACCCGATTTCCCTGCAAACTGCGGCTGTTACAAACCCGAAAACAAAAAATAAAAAGGTCCGGTTAATGACTTTCTAGGATGATTAAACTATTACTTTAAATTATATAAGAAGAAGAAATCTCCATAGCTCTCATTAAACCCCTCACCAACGCCATCAAAATCCAATCTTTTCAAGGAACAGATAATCAGGCAAAAGTTCCAGGATATATGGAAGAAGCGCAAAAGCCAAAAGGACAGGTATTTTCTTTTTTTTAGGTTTGGGGAAGAGAGTTAAAATGCCACGGGACGATATAGAGAGCAGGGGAGGAGAGGTGAAGAGAAATAGCAATACCAATACTGATTCCAGCAGCGGTTACACATCTTCATCAAATTACCTGATAGAGGATACAGAGACGCAATGGACATCGTGGTTGGTGCCTATGTTCGTGGTGGCTAATGTTGCTGTTTTTATTGTTGTTATGTATGTCAACAATTGTCCGAACCACAGGCATACAAGGCTTGTAGGCAAGTGTGTGGCGCGGTTTCTTGGTCGGTTTTCTTTTGAGCCTTTGAGAGAGAATCCTCTCTTTGGTCCCTCTTCTTCTACGTAAATAACTTATTCCCTTTATTACTTTTGTTTCATGTTCTTTCGTGGTTAGCCTGTTCTCTTCTTTTGTTGCTATTTTGTTTTTGTTGGATTTAATTTTTGGAACATGTGTTTCTAGGTGCGTTTAAATTCTGAATTTGGGTGATCTTTGGTGGGCTTTTGGAACATATTTTAGCCTATTTCTTAACCATGCTTTCTCTTTGATCATTTTTTCTATCGGGGTTGGCAAGGCATTAAAATGGGTTGTTGGTTGAACTTGTCTGAAATTCCTTCCTTCTTCCAATTCATAATATTTCTATCGAATTTCAGTGTTCCTTTTCTTTTGGTTTTAATAAGTTGTGGAATTTATTTTTCTTATTGATTTGCCTGGATTTAAGATACTAGGTCTCTGTTTTCAATGGATTGTGGATTGATCAGTTTCTGGAATTAGAATTTCTCGGATCTGAATTCTAGTGTAAGGCTCTCATAAGATGAAAATATATATGCCCGTTTGACTTTCAGCTCTCCACAACTAATTTTTGCTCTGTTTTTGCTGGCAATATAAAATTCTAATTGGCATAAGAGTACTTGGAATTTCTTATTGTGTTTGACTATTGTATGAGGAAAATGCTTCCAGGTAAAGTTTGGTGAATCTACTTTCTCATGCCCAATGCTTATACGCATCTGCTTCTTGTTTATATGTCGCTATTCTTATTTTTTCCTGGACACTGTTAATTGGGATCATTATGGTTTTGATATGAAAGCCTTGTTTATTCATGTTATAATAGATTTTGATGTAAAAATTTTGTTGGATTAGTTGAAACGCTTATTTTTATTAATCTCGAATCTAAACTGTCACCTAGGGACTGTTATTGATCAAGTTTCTTTTTGAAATTGATGTTCATGGTACTTGTGAATTTCAAGGGTTATATGCTTTTAGGTTCTTTTGGAGATCGAATCTGATTTCTGCTGGTGAAAGGTCACTGGCAAGTTTGATGTTTCCTCATTTCTTTCTTCTGCAAGTTCCCTTTTGATCTGTCTCTTACTTTACTCAAACCAACTTGCCAACAAGAATACTACTATTGGTTTATCATTTTAAATATTAAGTTAAGCATTATATGCACACCTATGCTGCATCTAAACACGAATTCCTTCCAGAATTCACTCATATTTGGCTTTGAGTTTCTTCCTGAAGGAGACAGGTCTTCGTAGGAGGCTAAATTACATTGTGATTGGTGGGAAATAGAAATAGGACTGAAGGGTGTTAGTAGAAAATGCGGAAAAGAATATGTTCACTTGCTTGGCAGAGGAAAAGTGAGAAGAAAGAATGAGAGAAAAAAAAAAGGATATTTTCTGCCTAAGCCTATAAGTTCAAATCTTTCCAACTTGGTGTCTGGTAGGGGAAAGGTTGAAAATAGATGAGATATTTATCGAAATGTAAGGAGGTGTACATGGTTTTGCAAATAACAAAATCACAAGGGTATAAAATTTAATTTTCTTTTCGTGATATTGATGGCAACCATCGACTCATTGTCGGAGATTTCTATAGCTTGGATTTTTTTTTTCTTTAAAGTGAAGATATGTTCTTACTTTGGCAGATTGAAGAAGTTGGGAGCTCTTGAGTGGACCAAAGTTGTGCTTAACCATCAAGGATGGAGGCTTATTACCTGCATCTGGCTGCATGCTGGTGTTATTCATATTCTGGCAAACATGCTGAGCCTCATCTTCATTGGCATACGCCTTGAACAACAGTTTGGTTTTGGTATGTTTCTCCTGTTTAAAATTTATCTTAATGCTTGTTCATACTCTTTATGTAACACCTGAACTGAATCTCAGTGTTGATTTTAGCAACTTGCTACTTTTTATCCCCTTAAACTGTCTGTAAATTAGAATTTGATATTGCAATGATCTGATATTTGTTGTTACATATTTACGATGTGGCAGTGCGGATTGGAATTATTTATCTCTTGTCAGGATTTGGTGGAAGTGTGCTATCCTCTCTATTTGTCCGGAACAACATCTCTGTTGGTGCCTCTGGTGCTCTTTTTGGACTTCTTGGTGCAATGCTTTCTGAACTTATTATAAACTGGACCATATACACAAACAAGGTGAACAATATTAACTGTTCTGCTTCCTTGATCCTAGAATCTTTAGAATATATTATTACAATGTTAATCATCGTAATATGTTAGTATATTACCAGGCTATGTTTCATACATTGTGCTCATCAATGCCCCGGTGTTAATGGTCTTATTAATGACCCTTGTCTTGCTTACTCCCCTTCTTAATATTCCACAGGCTGCAGCTCTGCTCACTCTTCTGGTCATCATTGCCATTAACCTTGCAATAGGAATTTTGCCACATGTTGATAATTTTGCACATATTGGTGGATTTTTAACTGGATTCCTCCTTGGGTTTGTTCTTCTACCTCGTCCTCACATTAGGTGGTTACAGCGTTCGAATCTTCCAGCTGGTACTCGTTTGAAATCCAAGTACAAGCCTTACCAATATGTCCTGTGGTTGGTTTCCGTGGTGCTGTTGATTGTAGGGTAAGTTACCATTCATGCTTCAAATAATTGATTGTTGTCATTCTTAGTTCATATGGTTTTAAGATGATCATAATTTGAATGGCAACTTTTATCAGCAAAATCATGGCTATTATGAATATTTGGTAATGGAATAATTTTCTTAAATTTGGAAACTATTTGCTAGGTCATGGATTCATTTTCTTGCTATGAAAAAGGCAAACAAAATGGAGATATTTTACCCTTTTTTTTATGTACTGTTGATTTTCCTTGTCATCTTTCCTTTATACCGATGATGTATATTAAGGTAGTGGGGCATGTATTTATTGTTCCATATTGATGACAACTAGAGATAACATAGAAGACAAACATAGAAGACAGTCTTTCATTTATGTTCCCTATCGATGGTTACTTGTTTCCATGGCTCAAGATGGTTATCTTTATTTGATTGTTAAGGTCAGGAAGAAACTGGAAAATTCTTGTACCATTTATATAGAAGTCATTTCAAATTCCATGTTTCTGCAATAGCCAACTGTAATTGTCAAAATCCGACTCATTGCTTTCTATTCTTGCTAAAATGCAGATTCACTGTTGCATTGGTAATGCTCTTCAGGGGAGAAAATGGAAATGACCATTGTCATTGGTGTCACTACTTGAGCTGTGTCCCCACCTCTAGATGGGATTGCAATGAAGACTAGCGCTGAAAAAGGTTCATCCTGTTTGGATATTCCTTTTTTTACATGTAATTTGTAAATGCGTAGTTCTAGCTTAGGAGTGTGAGTGCTGTGTTTTCTGTCATGGCTTTCTTTAAACATCAAAAGACTGCTATTATTATTGCTTTTACATCTCTTTACACAATTAAATGTGGATATGATGGAGCCTTCCTAACAACTAAAGGAAAGAAAAAAAAAATAAAAGGCCAAAAAATCTCCTTCCCAGCATGTCACGCCAAAAAACTTACATTGGCAAAGAGACCATCTGCATAATATTTCTGCATCAATCTATATATTATATACTTGATGCTTTAAGCACCTACTGGTTGGTTATGTTCATTCAAGCAGGAAAAAGAAAAAATGCGACCATTCATGTTTACCTATGCCTGACATCAGGGGAAAATAACAAACAAAAAGTTCTTCCTAAAATTTACAATGCGCACACACAAACTGGAGACCTTCAATGTGTAAGACTGACGCGACAACTAACTACGCCTCCACCTCATCCTCTTCTCTTGGCCCCCATGGTGTACCATTTTTTAAATGGTTAATGTTACAAATAACATAAAATATTTAATATAATATTTAAAATTTAAAAATATTTAATATAATATTTAATTATAAATTTATTAATTAATATAATATTTATTTTACATGTGATTAATTTCGAATAATAATATGTAATAAATAATATTTTAAGTATTATATTAATTTTAAAATTTTTTAAAATTAAATTACTAATGTTTAAATATGTTCGAGACTTCGCAACGTTTGCCTTTTAAAAAATCAGCGGTTTAGTACAGCGGAGTTTCTGATCTAGAGTTTTGGGGTAAGCACAGCGCAGTCAACCTTAGCTTTACCAGGGCAGGCTAATATTGGGCCATCTCGTTTAAATTAAGAGACCCTACCGGCCAGTGTAGGCAATCGCATGGGCACTTGCGCAGATACTCATTCAACCTTCGTGAACCTCACACGTTTTTCATTGCATGCCAATTGCACACCAAACCAAATTAAATCAACGATATAAATTTTACATGGTTTTTCCAGAAGCTAAGCTCATCCGGCGGGCTAGTAGATACAGTCAAAACTGATACAAAATACCTGAAATGGGGGGTGACAGAATAATGATAGGAGTGTTGATGTTGCTTTCATGGGCCACCTCAATAGCTGCAGCCGTGGACTGTACCACTGTGACAGGGCTAATCTCAGCCTGCTCCACCTTCATTACCTATGGTTCACCCGACCCCTACCCGGGTTTACCATGTTGTGATGCTGTGACGAACCTGAACTTGATTGTTGACTCCACCGATAATAGGAGATCCGTTTGTGGGTGCTTAATGGGGCTCATTACCACTTACAATCCTAATTCCACTGCTATTGCTACTTTGCCTGGCTTTTGTGGAGTCACCCTGGGCTTCACCATTGATCCTAATACCGATTGCAACTTGTATATCTCTCAATCTCTCCGTCAAAAATGGTTTTGAGTCATTGTTTGGTGAGCATGCCTTTATTTCACGTGTTTAGTTACTACTATTTGACCTGGTTTGTTGTTATATATGCAGCATTCCATGAATGGGAATTTAATTACAGGGATTGAAAGGTGGCTCCATCAAGAGACATACAGAAGAATCTATCAAATAAGAAGCCGACTTCAGCTACGGAGAGATGGATTATATACTTCTCCACAAGCAATAAAAGAAATGACCTACTTTCTTGTTGCTACATCTTAATATTAATATAGCTTCTGCTCATGTTGTGCAATCGAAGGGTTAATTTGACGTTGGGCGGACCAAATAACCCACTTGATTATAAACATTACACAATCTTGTAAATTTTCGAAAAGTAGAAAGCTACATTGCAGTCATTGCTTTTTGATTTGAACTTGATTGAGACGAACCACATGTATGTCATTGTTCATTTTTTAACCTTGATTGGAAGCCCATTGCCACTGATCACCTGTCCTTTTCACCCTCACTAGTTGTGCGACAGCCTAAAATCAAAGACCGCAATGATTATAAGAACACTAGGTCCAGATGTAATTGTACTTTCAATGAGATGAAGTTAAATTTTAATTATTATTAATTAAATTTAAATATTAATTTTAATAAAATTTATTTAATATTAATTTTTTTTATTAAAATTATTATTTTTAATTACAATTATAATAATTTTTATTATTATTTTTTCAATCTCAGCATCTTTCTAAATTAACCCTAAGCTACTATCTGTTTCATGCTCGGGGCCCATTTGATTGCCCGTTTTCCGTTTAGTGTCAGTGCGTTCGAGCAAATCACACCGCAAGCTAAGCATTTGATGAGTGGTTGAAAATTTTCAACTGGATCGTACCTTCCGTTTGGTGCTCAATCGTGACTGATGTTAAGAAGGCCAGTGGAGAATTTTTACCTGCAATCAAGGATAAGGAGAAAATTTTTACCTGCAATCAAGGATAAAAATTCTCAAATACCCTCATTGTATATATTTTAATTAAATTCAACATTTTTCAATTTATTTAATTTAAAAACTTTAAACTAAAAGGCCTAATAAAGACTTGGGGAAATCTCAAATATTTTAAATTGGTTCCAATCCTCATTTTTTTTAATTAATTAATTTTTTTGTTCTTATTATTTTTTGCTTTTTTTTTTATCAATGTTCATAAAAAGTTTTTAATATTTTTATAACTTGTGTAATAAACTAAATTATTCAAAAAATAAATCATATAACATTATTATTTTTATTAATAATTTTTAATTATTTATTAACTTCAAAATTACCAAATATATAATAAATTTTAATTTGATAATATAGTGTTCAATAATTTTCAATTATTTATTAACTTTTCAAGTATATATTATAGATTTTATTATATACATTACTCTAATGCGTTTATTGTTTTTTTTTTTACTACAATTGGCTTCACCACTACTATTATTATTTTATTTAAATACATATTTTATCACTTATTTTAATTTTATTATTATAATATTTAATTTCACTAATCTCTTATCCACTATTTATTTTAATTTTATTGAAATCAATCTTACTGCTTTTACAATAAACCCTCCAAAAGTGGTACCAAAAAATGCAAAAATTACTTGCAGTTGCAGTTACTCCACCTCTAATGTGCTAGAACCGTTAACGTCAAGGGCGACCATTTTCATGCGCACTTGGAAATAGCGAGCGGCCAAAATTTGGATATAAAAGCAAATTATTAACAAGAAGAAAAAAAAAAATCAGAGGACGGTCATGTCATAATATCACATTCAAAGTTGTGGGCGAGTTGACCTTTGTCCGATTGCATTATCTGCATGGGTCTAGAGATTGATTTCATGTCATCATTGAAAATTTTCACTGTGATCTGTAACTGATTTTACAAAATCGTTCTCACAACTGTATGATTCATTGTGTGAGTTTGTCAGTTCTGGGAAACCAAGTTTCATTTGTTTTGCTTTGGATATATAATAAAGGAACGTTGACTGTTCACAATTAATATGACCATGTTATGTAGCCGCTTCAGACAAATGATGAAACGAAGCCATTGAGAGAAGAGAAGATGCATGGATTTAACCTCCGCGAATGCACAGTGGGAAACATACACAACAACTCGAACCGAAACTCTTTAGTTTTCTTTTGCTATTATTTTCAAGATAATTTTGAGTTGAAAGTTGAAACTGATCCTTAAACAGTTAAAAGACAAGCGAGCTAGCAATTGTAGGAAAGCAAAGCTGGTACATAACTATGTTGCACAAATACAATCTAATTTATGGACTGAGAACTGAGAACTGAGAACTGAAAACCTTAACATGATAGAGAAAATGACAGTCACAATAATCTTTTCTGGAAGCTGTGTCCATTTTCGACATCATTAAATTTGATCATGCAGGACCAAAGTTTGTAACATCAGAGTAAATTAATAACAACCCTAGCGCTGCTGTCACACACCAAGAAATGAAAATAGGAGGGGTAGAGGGCGGGGGCGGGGGCGGGGGCGGGGAGGGGTGAGCGAGATCATTCCCTTTGGTTGGCACTATCAAGCCTGTTCAAGCGATCAGATGCTGGATTAGTCCTGTACCTAAAGTGAACACATTGAGCTAAATCTCTTTCTGAATTAGTCCCTGAATCCCATAACCCCTGGAAAGTTCTTCTGGTTGAACCATATTTGTCAAACTCCAGCCTCTGCCTCGGGGCACTCTGGGACCGATACTTAGCCTGGGATGATTCTGTGTTAGCCATGTAATTTGGGTGACCAGAATATCCGCTGGAATAGTCCCATGAGCACTCACTCCTTGTGGGTGTGAAAGGACTTCTCCTAGCACTACTTCCAGTTCTCAATGATACAGAAAGCAGTTGAGGGCTGTTTTCAGCAGTCCTTAAAGCTGCTTCATCTTTCCCTCCAGGACATTTCAGAGAGCTTAATGATAAAACTTCTGCTGCAGAAAGATTTGGAATGGGATTTGAAGCTTTTCCTGACATTTTTCTTGGGGAGTTGTATGCCATAAAGCTCTGGTTGTAATGCAAAGCTGAACCATGCTGAGATGCGGTGAAGTTCCTGTTACTTTGTTGGGAGTTCAAGCAAGGTTTCCAAGTATCTATTTCAAGGATTTTGTCACTCTTCTCATCATCAACATGTGAATGTCTAAGCGGAGCATCTCTATGGTTGTTCCTTAAACTTTCCTCCATCCAACGGTCTAACCAATTTGAACTCATCCATGTTTTCTCTAGATCGATGATGTCCCTCAGGTTTGAATTTGAACTACATCTCTGCATGAAAGGAAGCAAAATTCAGGACTGAATTGAAGATCCGATTTTATACCCAGTGCATTTAAATTTGTTAAGATTCAGTGCTTAACTGATTTCAGAACACTACCTATGACTTTCAACTCATGTTTAAAATTAATCATATCCTAACATCAAGAAGTTCAGGAATGAAAATTTTCCTACTTCAAAAGGCTGTGCAGAAAGGTTTCATCTGGGATAAGCTAAAAGAAAACCATTTGTTGATTTGAACATAAGTTTTGCTAAAAAATAGAGGTGCGTGTTAAAATGGGAATGTAGGTGCCAAACTGCCAATTAAGTGATACCTTCAGGATTGAGGACCCATCAAATTTAGTACTATAAACCTGATGTTGGCATTCATCTTTTACAGAACTTGCATGGACCTGCAGGTTTATGTAGGAAAAATGAGGAAATGATCAGAGCGAACATATAGATAAGTTATTCTCAATAAGCTCTCATAGATCACCTATTTCTCCCTACTGTATGTTATACAGCAGTAAAACATGTGTCAAAGTTTGGTAACTTTTCTTTCTATTCAAATTATAGATTCAGCCCAGCACATTTAATTTTGTCTAGACCAGAACTGTAGTCCATTTGAACTACATCCTTCAGATCACAGTTATAGATTAATAGCAACCGAACTCCACTCAAGGTTCTTTAAGTTATAAGAGCATAAGAGAGGATTGAATTGAACCTTATGCTTGAACTCAGGCTTGTGGTCAATGACATATCATGTACGTAAAAGTCGTCAAGTTTTCTTTATAAAGAAGCAATTTGGAAGCAAAAATGATTTCTCGATGTTTTAAGCAGACAAGGAGAGTTCCCTCATATGGTTATTAAGCTGTCTTTTAAACAGTGCCCTTATTCAATGTGCTAAAGTAAAAACAAAATCCTCCATAAAGATACCAGAACTTTAAGTTAAGGTAAAGCAAGTGGTCCCTCGGTCTTTCAATACATTAGTGCATCCGGAATGATGTGAGCTCATGGCAAGCATATCAAATGCCATCTTTTTTAGCCTAACACAAAACATTGACAAGATTAGAGGTCTGCTTACAGCATTTCGTGAATGGTACATCTTGCCGGCAGAATCAAAAGATTTTGTCACGTAAGCACGATTTGCATGGGCTTGAGCTTGCAGCCTGACCAATGTCTGCATGCGTCTAAACATGTCTGCTGTTTTTTTTCTCACAATGTGGCCTCTCACTAGAGCTTGAAGCTTCACCAATGCTTTCAATGCCCTCAGTGCCCTCCGTGCCTGGACCAAGTGCCAGCAAAAGTCAAAGAATCAAGTATCATTTTCATTAGACTAACCAAAACCATCCAAATCAATCCAATTGACTGAATGATAAAACTTGTAAGAACTTTGCAGAAGAAAGCACAAAGCAAAAGGCCAGACTGGCATTTCTTTAGTCCTTTCAGAAGTTTAAAGTCTCTAATGATGCATTAGCCCAAAGATTAAAAAATGATTTGCACCAGATTGAAAATGAATTCAAAAGGCGAGAGGGCTATGGATGAAATCATTATCTAACATACATGCCAAATAAATAGAGGGAAGTTACATAAAAGAAAGCTTAACCTCTCCCACCTAGAGATAATACTAATCGATACTACTACTAATTTAACCATGACTTTGCAGCTTTACAAACGGTTACCCAATTGTCTAATGAATAGTCATCTCAACAAGTAACTTTGTCCATTAATGGTTGCTAACGTGCTCACCTCCTCTCTTTTAAGAATTAAAAGCACCCTCCAGAAACATGGAACACTGGAGGGCGGGCAAATTCAATGGACAGATAAATCATGTTTTTCTTGCAAAATGTAGGTAACATGGCAAATCCGAGAATGCATATGGTTCAAACAAGAATAAAAGCTTGGAACTTGAGACAAAAGAAAGCTACAGGTATACAATCTAACAAGTTCTCCAAAACTACTTTAACTTTTAGGAGAGAATTAATAATCAATCATAAAGTTGATGTTCGAAAAACCTTCCAGTTGGAACAATTATTTCAATAATGGTAGACTATGAACATGATCTAATCAGCTCACTAAAAGAATAAAGTAGGCCCAAGTGCCCAACAGCTTGGCTGTAACATGAAATTTTTGCAGAATGATACCCTACTAAAATGAGGTAAAACTTGCATGTTACTCGTGAGAGATGCTCCAAAAAGCAATAAACCAATTTTGACAAAAATTTCTACAGAACAACATTTGGGTAAAACAATTTTGTCTAACAAGTAGTATTTCGCAGCTTAAAAAACTGTTTTTTTTCTCTGTTCTAGTATTGAGTTTTAAATGATTGTCTTTTAAACAGTAGGAGACAACCAAGGCAAGACAGAATGAAGAAAGAGGAATGTGAATTTGGTCAAACAAGTCGTACAACTTTCACATGCTACAAGTTACCCTGGTCAAATCCACTCTTTCTTCATGTCCCATCTCTTGACGGATGCATTCCTTTCCTTCCAAAACGATTAAAAAGAAAAACCATTTTCCGATTTTCCTTACTATTTTGAAATTTGAAATAAAAATTTGCATGTCTTCCAGGTGGTGATTAAGAAGAAGAAACTTAGCCATTGAGGCACTGATGACTGGCCATTAAGCCACCACATAGGTCCGGCCGTACCGATAAAACTAGAAGCACGAGCGTGGAACGTGAGCTTTGGTTTCGTCGAAAAAATGACGTCACTGAGAATCAACATGAAGTGGAACACACGTGTTGGAAACTTCCACGTACGACATAAGAATTTGAAGTGAATGGACTTTTATTAGTAAAAGAAACAAATGGGCGAAAATAACAAACAAGGCTTGGACTTCTATATTTATTTAAATAAATTTTATTTTTATTACATCTAAATAAATTTTTAAATTTTAATTTATATTTAAATAATATTTTAATTTTTAATTTGTATATGAATAAATTTTTAATTTATATTTAAATAAATTTTTAATAAAATTAATTTTTTAATTCAAGTAAAAATTTATTTTCATATTTGTATCTATAATAAGTGAATTTATTTAAGTACAATTAAAATATATAAATTTATTTTTTAAAAATAATAATTACAGAGCCTTTTTAGTATTTTAAAAAAATTCACAAAAAGACAGAGAAGATGGTTAGAGCCTAGAGGATAACAGGGAATCAATTCCCCTGTTAAAGCCTGATGGCGAAACGACCAGCTTTCAGTGTCAGCGCACCTTACTGGCCCTTTGCAACACTCTTTGTTTTAGTTCTTGTTTCTTTCGTTCTTCTTCTTCTTCTTCTTGAACCATTAGCAATTAAAGCTTCAATAAAACTATGAAAGAAACACTCTTTGTTCAGATTTAACAAAACAAAAACTGCAACTCCACAGACGCTTTTGCCCAAATGGATGTCCTAACACACTCTCAGTGCAGCCTTCTAGCTTTTGTTGGCTCTAATTAAAAAACTAATTTTCAAACAAAAAAGAGAGCCTTTCGAACTACTTGGTTTTACTCTTTTTGGAATTTGAAGGGTGAGAGAGAGCTTAAAAGAATAACAACCACAGCTCTGTTTCCAATTGAATCCTGAGTAACAATGAAAGAGTTTTATTTTCCTTTCCCATTTGCATTGATAACTTGTATGAGCGGAAAGAAAGCGGGGAAAAGTCTAAAACCATTGACTAACGTAGAAAAGTGTAAACCATCAACAGTAGATGATTAACAGCCCAAATTCAGACAACGTAATCCCAAGGGGCATTCATGGAACAATAAAAATTTTAAAACGAAGTTAGTAAATACTAACCAAATAACCTCGAAAAGCGGACTGTATCTTAACAGCCGCCATCTGCTCTGCGAGCTGTCGGTTGCTCCCACCACGCCCACTCGTCAGCCTAACCACCTCAGCCGCCGCATGCGCTGCCACGAGAGCAGCCTCAGCTACAGCAGCAGTGGCCGCTGCCACTGCTATGGCCTGTTTGCTGGCATCCAATGTATCTTCGCATGGACCAGAAAGAGAGTCAAGATGAGAACTTGAAGACGCGGGATTAGAAGATCTGGCAAAGCTCCAAGGCCTTCTGTCTTTATCGTGGTGGGGTTGGGCGGGCTTTTTGAAGCCAAAGATTCGCCGGAAAAAGCCCATGGTTCATTGCCCGTAAACCACACGTCCACTTGAAGGCATGGTTGATGAGAAAATAAAAACTTTTTGGGTGTGAAAGGAGAGAACAGAAAGGAAAGAGTATAGGAAACGAGTGAGAAGTAGCAGGGAGAGACTTGAATTTTGTAGCCAACGATCCACAACTCACCGCATTCAAACCATACGCGTCTCTAAGATATATGTAAAGCACGCGCGTCGTTTCCTTCTCTTTTCTCTAACAATCACAATACCACCTCAACTTGAGCTTCGTGGTTTTTTTTTTTTTGGTTGTTTTTATTTGAGTAATTAAGAAAAAATGTGAATTAAATTTTAAATACAAATTTTCGTAAAAATTATTAAAAGTCTACAAATAAAAATGACAAACATATATAATTAATAGTTATAATGATTTAAATTAAAAATTTTTAACATACGACCAATGTAAAATTTTTTCAAGCAACTACTTAAATAAATATAACAAATATATAAATTAAAATTTAAAAGAAATTAGAGATAAAATTACAAAAATGTTTTAAACTAATACATTTTTTAGCACAAAGCAAAAGCAGTTTTGTTTATTATCATTAATTCCTTTTGGCAAACATTAACCATATTTTGAATTCAAAGTTTAGAAGAAAGCAACGTAAGGACAAGAGAAGAAAAAAAAGTAATTCTACAGATTCCAAATTAGATGATAAACGTCGCTATAATTGCATTGTTGTTGAAAATGTGTTATGACATTTGACACATAACTTAAAAAAAAAAAAAAGTTAGATGAAGAATTTACCCATCATTGGCGGGAAAAAAAAACTTAAATAAATAGAGGGTAACTTAAAAATTTAGATGGTCCAATTAAATTTGATTAGTTATTCAAAAGTTTTATTCGAGGATTAATTTGATTCAGTTCGTTCAAGTTTCAAAGAGTTAAATTTTTTTTAAAATATATTAAAATATTATAAAATATAAAAATTTAATATTTTAAAATATTTTAAAATTAAATAAAAAATATTATTATTAATAAAATAAATTTTCAAACCAGACCAAATGTAAGCTACAAAACTTTTATCTAAAATTCAATCTGATTTAAGCCTAACCTGCGAGCAGGATGAATAACCTGATCTACGGTAAGGTGTAAATTAATTTAAAGCAAGCTTTATTATCATGTAATTGATTAGCATAATGATAAGCAAAAGCCAAAACGAGGTTAGCAAAAGGCTAAATGCGAGAGTTAGGGTGTTAGGTGGTTGGCGATTAAGTCCTATCCATTTTAATGTGAAAACACAACGTTCTTGGAGAATTACCCAACGAACACGGAGCCTCCTTGAAATTCTAACACTACTTAGTTTTTCTTGTGTTCTTACAAACCATGCTTTTGACTATAGTTGAGTTTTTCTTTCAATCTTGTCTTAATACTTTATTGATCGTTGTCAAAGTTATAGTATTACTAGATGTAAATCCGCACCTTGATACGTAAATATTTAAATTATCTTTTTATTCTTAATATTTTATAAATTTTCTCAAAGAAAAGAAACATAAATAATAATTAATTAAAAAAACAAATCTCATAATGATGTCTATGAAAATTCATCATTGAATTTACAATATTAATTTATTAAATTAAAATGTTAAATAATAAATTTATTAATATAATACATATATAAATATAAAAGTAAATTAATAATAAAATATGTATTTTTATATATACCCCGAAAAAAGTCAAGAAAAAATATTATAAACGCGCTTCCATCCCATCCCATTTTCATATTTTATAAAAAAACTCAATCATCACAACTTGTTCTCAATTTTAAAAAATCACTCTCTATTAAATTAGAATAAATTAAAACTCATCATATACGGATTATTTTAGTATTTCCATTAATTAGCACATTTTTATTGTAAAATTTTCAAATTAAAAAACACAAAAAGGCTAAAGAGAAAAAAAGCCAAATGAAAATGAACAAAACAAAATTAATTTAATAAAAAATAAAAAATAAGGGCAATATTCCAATTGAATTTGAAATATTTTTAAATCAATATATTAGATAATAACTTGATTAATTAAAAAATAAAGAAAAACAAAAACAAAAAACAAAAAAAAAAAAGAGAGATCATTGAAGTACCATGTCAACATTAAAATTGAATTTAAAATGTTAATATGTTTAATTAAAGTATAAAATAATAACTTTATTAATATAATATATATACATATAAATTAAATAGATGATAAAATATATATACTTTTATGTACATCATGGGATGACTTAAGGCAAAATATCCTAAATTCACTTTTTAATTCATCCATACTTTTTATAAAAAATCGACCTGACTTAATTTGGTATCAAATTTTTACAAAAATATCCATATTGAATCTAGATAGATTAAAAGCTATCATATACTAATTGTTTTGTCATTGCTATTAACTAGCTCATTTATTGTAAAATTAATATAATTTAAAAAATATAAAAAATAAAAACAAAAAAAAATTATAGGAAATAAACAAATGAGGGTATTACGTGAACACCTCTAATAACATTTTCTTTTCTTAAAAATTGATCTAATAAAAATAAAAAACAAAAAATAAAAAAAAATCACCCCATATCGGATCTAAACCCATAGGATATAAATTATTTTGCTATTTTTATTCATTGATACCTTTTATTGCCAAATTTATATAATTAAAAAAGTCAAAAAATGAAAGAGAAAAAAAATTAAATTGGGGTGTCGCATGTATAACTTCATTGAGTTTCTTAACAAATTTGTCTAAATTTTAAAAAATTAAAATAAGAAAAGAGTTGAAAAAAAAGAGAAAAAAGGGAAATAAACATAAAATGTCCTATCGAAACCTTAAATGAAAGTAAAATAAAGGTAAGAATGAGTAAATTTTATATAATTGATGGATTCATGGATCACATCTTAATTTTATATATAAATAAAATATTTTTATTAGATTAAGATAATAAATAATAACTTTATTAATATAATAATATATACAAATATAAATAGAATAAATAATTTTAAATATACTCGAGGTAAGATAGAAGATCTAAAATGTATTTTCAGCTTATTCCAATTTTAAAAAAAAAAAACCTTGTCTTGATCCTACATTTTTTAAAAATCGAATATATTAAATCGTATCATATAAAAAATTATGAGATATGAGTTATTTTGTCATTCTTTCACCTATTGACTTTTTTTTTTACAAAATTTATCTAATTTTAAAACATCATTTTAAAAAACAAAGACAACGGTGAAAAAAAGAAAAGAAAACAAAGCCAAATGAAGATGGCAAGTGGATTTAATAAATTAAACTATCAAATAACAATTTTATTAATATAATATATATAAATATAAAATTAAATATATAATAAAAACATATATTTATATATACTAGGATAGGATGGAACACTCTAAACTTGTATCCAATTTAATTTTAATTTTTTTTAAAAAAACTTCAATCAGATCTCAAATTTAAAAGAATGCACCTATTAGATTCGAACAAATTGAAATCTATCAAATACGAGTTTTTTGTCATACATATCTTTATTGATATTTTTCTTAAAAATTTATTGACTAGTTTTTTTTGGTACACAAATTATCTAATTGAAAAAAAAAAAGGTGTAAGGAAAAAACGAAATAGGATGTCATGTGTACACAATCATTTTTTTTTAAAGAATCTATTTGAAAAAAGAAATGAAGAAAAAACTAAAAAAAAAGAAAAAATTGAAAAGCCAAAGAGAAAAAAATTAGGTCGACATGTGATATCAACAGTAATGAGATTTTATTGAAAATTTTATACCATGAATTTAAATAAAAAAGACTAAAATATTTAAAATAAAAAAATGGATGTGACATTAACACCTTGGTTAATTTTTTTTCAATTTATTAAATTAAAAAAGTAAAATAACAAAAAAATATATTTTAAATAATAATATTAGATGGACTCCATATTAAAAAATTTTAAAAATTTTATGAATATTGATTAAATATTTATAAAAGAATAAAAATAAAAAAGAAATTGAAAAAAAATTGACTTGACATGTGACACACTTTTAATATCAATGGGTCTCACAAAAAATTAAAATCTAAAAAATTATTCATTAAATATAAAAAAAAGAAGAAAGAAAAAGTAAAAAAAATGTGGCATAATTTTAGTATAAAGTGGCTCACACACAAAAATAAAATCTAAAAAAGTATTTATTAAATATTTTACAAAAAAAAAGGTAAATAAGCAAAAAAATTAGTTTAAGTAGTTTCCACAAAAAATCTTTAAAGATTGTATAATTTTAAAAAGTTTTATTAAATATTAAAAAAAAAGTAAAAAACAAAAAAAAGGCTTGACCACTGACACAATGCAAATCCGTACATTTGCAAGGTTTAATAATAATATCAAATGGACCCTATATTCAAGAAATTTTAAAATCTTTTAAAAATGTTTATTAAATATTGAAAAAAGAAAATAAAAAAATAAAAAATAATCTAAAGACTTGACATGTAACATATTTTTGATATAAAAATCTCATAAAAATTAAAATTAAAAAATTATTTTTTAAATATATAAAAATAGAAGAAAGGAAAAAAAAAAAATACACTGTATGTATCTTTGATATAAAGTAGATTTCACATAAAAAATCTAAAAAAAATATTTATTAAATATTGTAAAAAAACTAAAAAGTAAAAACGGTAAAAAAAGAAAAAGTAAAAAAAGTTTGGTGTAAGTAAATCTCATATAAGAAATCTTTAAAATATATATTTTTATAAAAATTATTAAATTTAAAAAAAAAACAAAATAAAAAAAAGGATGATATGTACAACTGCAAAATTATACTCTCTGTTTCAAATTATTTAAGTGTTATCGAACTTTTACAAAATTTTAAAAAAATATTTAGATTTTAATGTATTTAATATTAAAATTTAAATTTTTTTATAAAATTTTATTTTTATGATTTTTAATGTTAAAAATTAAAAAATCATAAAAAATAATTTTAAAATATAAAAAAATAAAATTTTAAATATTAAAACTTTTTTTTTAAGACATCCAATAAAAAGATTATAAAATGAAAAAAAGACGGAGAGTACATACTATACTATAATTTCTTTCGGTCAAATTATATAATTTGAAAAAATGTAATCATTTCCTTCTTCAAATCCTAGATTTATGGACGAAAAATGAAATTGTGATTGATTTTAATGAAACCTGTCGCATGCATGTATGTCCTGTAAATTTAAATACACCTAGAAATTTCAGAAATTTGGCTATCTGATAATTTCAGCTCAATTAAAAGGAAGAAGATAGAGGATTTTCATAAGCATGGACCTCAGCAACCTCCAAACGGTTTTGGGGCTTTTAGCCCTTTATTTCATGCATTGGTCATAACTCGTAAAGCATCCATCAGACTGACCCATTATTTCATGTATTGGAGACTATATTTTGGATGATTACAGTATAATTATGCTATTATTAATTACTAATTAAAAATCGTAAATTTATGTTTGTTATAAAATTAAGAAGAATTATTTATGAATATCGGTATTTTAGTATTGAAGAATTGTTTATCACCACACTTTCACAATGAATATTACTTGTACTATTTTATTTTACTATAAAACAACAAATAGAAAAATGTTTAATATTTCTATTATTGAAAGATAGTTAATTTCATACTTCATGACAAATTAAAACTTGCATATTTTCCATGAAACACATTGTAATTGTATGCATTGTTTTAAATTTACATATATAGGGCATGTTGTAGAGAGGAAAAAGGGGAGTGAAGCTCAGACCTATGAAGAAATTGAAAATTTTTTTTTTTTTTGTAGTACTTGTGCAACAGTTTTAAGTTTGGCAGGCTTAGGCAGAATTGATGTTAATGGGAATCAAAGAAATGATAGCATGGGCAAACCATCTAAAACTTTCTTATTCCAATAAGAGTTTTATAGATTTCTGTTCTAAAAATATACCCAGAGATACGGTGCTTTGGATGTATTCAAATTTCATAGCTTTTGTGGAAATTTTAAGGGATAAAAGGCTAGAGATGTTTCGTATGGGCTGGTTTGATATCAACATTTAAACAATCTGTGATTGCATCAGTTAGCTCTTAGTCTGTCTTGGATTTTTATGACAGGTTGACAGTGCTTTGGGGAGATTAACCGAAATCCAGAGACACATGGGGTTTCGTCTGATGGTTTGAGTTCATACTCTGCCGTAATGTGTTCTTTTTTAGGCTTTCTTTTGCAGGTTTTTCTTTCTTCTTTAGATAAATGGAAGGATTCACTTTTTAACAAAAAAAAAAGAAAAAGGAAGAAACTTGCTGCTCTCAGTTTTCCTCAAAGAGAAAGATATTTTTATTTCTCAATACTGATTAAGTTCTCTTTGATCTCCATTGCATTGCTCGGTCACAGATAGGGAAACACATTAAAAATAAAAAAGGACAATATGATTAAATTCCGGCCTTATTTTCTACCCACTTGCACCACTCTGGCATCACCTTCATGCACTAATTTGCATATCTGCACATAGAATGAGGAAATGTTACCTAAATATAAGCTAAATTGGACAACAAAAAATACAACAAAAAACAACAAAAAAAAAAGAGAAAAAAAAAAAAAACACATAACTTACTATCAGTTACCACAATTGAGAGGAGGGAGATTGCATTGAGAAGGGAGTCGAGAAGCAATTGTGAGAGTGCTGCAGAGGCAGTCATGCTGCACAGATTGGAGTGCACCACAACACTCAGAACTAGGATTGGTCTCAGTAGCACCAGGCACCACAAAGGGTGCGCACACATTCAGGTTGGTGAGCACATTTGCGCAGCTCTGAGCCTTTGCCGTCTGGGTCTGCACTGCGGCTACAGCCAACAACAGGAGTAGTGCTGCAGCTGCAGCTTTGGAACTGAGATGCACCAGTGACTTGAGAACTGCCATGACTAAATTTATCCTGTCTAAATCTTGGTTAATTTCTTTCTCAGTTTTGTGTCTTATTCATTGGGATTTTAGACTGTTTATAGTTAGGTTTTGGATGTTTAGAGTATTCCATTGCGTGAGTTACCTATCTCAAGTTTCTAGCACATCATAATTTTGTTGTGTTAGGATAGTTCAAGGATTACATTTCTTGATCGTCTGTGTATAACTAACTGCACTCTACAATGTTGACAATATTTGTCGTTTTCTTATTTTAAATTATTTTTAATTTAACAATTATAAAAATTAATATTATAAATCAATTAATAATTAGTTAACTTCTAATTCTATTCATATAATAATATTTACTTTAAAACAAAGCTGTAGTCTTAATAGTTTTGATTATTTAATTTTTATTAATAGTTTAATTGTGATTATTATCCAATTTTATATATGTAATTTATATGTTGATGGTTAATTTTATTTTTCATTATTCGAAAATATTGTATAAGTGATAATGAAGAATTATTTTTTTTACAAGCTATAAAATTTTGAAGAAAATAAAAATGAGCAGTGCTAGGGTTTTTTTATTTAATTTTTTTTTGTCGCGGTTAAATCACTTGAATAATATAGGATCTAGGCCCTACAATTCATAACAAATCATCTTGCATAAGCCTAAACAAAGCTTCAAGACGATTATACAAATTCATCAACTCAAAGCTACCACTATGTGTCATACTTACAAGAAAATCTGTACAAAATATGTGTGGACAACATGACAATGACAATTTCTTGCCAATAGCCTTTGGCAAATAAATAGTTCCTAATAAAAATAATCTTTTGGTTAAAAGTTCATGGATTACTTTATGAGCTGCCATGAGAGAATCAAATTTCAAGATTAAAAAAAAAAAAAAAACCAACAACTATAATCCCATGCAACTTGCAAAAAATTAAGAATTGCATACACATTTTCGCCTTGAGAATACTACCCCAACCAAAATTTCTAGTGAAACCGAAAAGCCATTAGCCATTACTATCCTTATAGAGCCACCAATAGCCAAATTCCCTGAATTAATTGGAGCTGAAGCATCAACATTAAGCATCACAAAACCTTTACGGTGGAGTCTGCCAAGCAATATGTTTAATTTGGCAGGATGCAACAACTCTAACCAAAATCCTATATGTCATATATTCATGAATGCTGGCAACAATGGCAAAAATAACATTGGTGGGCCATTAAAAACCATTCTGAAATACACACCTAGCTATTTCGAAGTCTCCAAATGTGTCATACCACAAACCAAAACAAATTGATCACTGTATATTACCTTCCCTTAAAATGTGCTACCTATAAAATTATAAAGATGTCAAACACGCAAGGTCAGGGAATTAAAATGTTCAATATGAGAACCATTTAACCACCTATTCCAAATAAATTGGGGTTCCTTACAGTCACGCATAAATACAAATTATTTTTCGAAACAAAATCACAATTCATGCACATGAAGTTAATCAAGAGTTCCCTTCTGAAACAATTTTCTAAATCTTCCCGTGCGTTTCTTGTTAAATTTTTCAGTGTGTTACTATTAATTGGGAATTTTATAACTTAATAAAATAGGTTGGTAAATTTAATCCTAATACAAGACAAGCACGAGAGCCCATCAATCTCATTTTTTTTTCCAAAAACTCCTTCCTAAATTGGCACCCACCACCTGCTTGACAAAATTACTTGAAGAGCCGCACCAACTTTCCACTTGCATGCCCTAGCTCTTACATACACAAGCATTTCCCAAGCCTTCTATTTTGCTGTTAAGAGCTGAATTTAAGAGGGCTGACTTTGGTCTGATTACTTGTCATGTCAAATATGTATCCAGGGGTTGTTCTTGTATAAACATATGTTAATCTGGATATGGTATCTAAAAGGGAAACATAGAGAGTTTTCAGGTAGCATTCTAAAAGCCAGAAAGATCACCAACATCATCAATCCAATGCAAATTTTTAGGGTGAAGGTATTTCAGCACTATTTCATTTTTCTAACTTCCTTGATCTATGGTATACTGCTCATTTTTTGGGAATTGTTCAAATGGTACGGTGACATTGTCAATGTTTACATTCCTGCTAAAAGAAATGTTCGAGGTCAAAGATATTGGTTTGTCAGTTTTAGGAATGTTAAGGATATTGAGTATTTACTTGAAGTTTTGAATGGTATCTGGATTAGTACTTATAAACTTAGGTTTTTCTAAGCTAAAGGAATATCCGATTTTATAGATCAAGTTCAACATGCAAGGACTGCTAAGATTAGATAACCTAGTAGTAGGCCTGAGGCCTTTTTTAACAAATCTTATGTAGAGATGGTCAAAGATATGTGGCAAGAAAATGTAAATGACTCTAGCAGCCATAAAAGTACTTTATCGAAACCTAGAATATTGATGATTCTTGCAAGGTAGGTGAAAAGGTTAATAAGAGTTTGGTTTCTGTTTCTTATGGTGTTGCGTATAATCATATTTAAGTGTATTTAGACAAAGGGTTTTTAGTTATCAAAATTAATCTAGATTCAATACTAAAAACTTATGTCTCAGAGAATTCAAAAGGGAGTACGTAGAACAGTGAAAAGGAGTTGTCACATGAGAATTATTTAGTAGAGGTGGCTAACCATGTATAGGCCAAGGCGTTAGGGGATGACTAGTACAAGTTTGCCCTTCGATTGATGATAAGCAATCTCTTAGTGGTGCGGGGTCTTCAGATTTTCCTAATATTGATCCAATGCAAAAAAATACAGAGAGCTTTGATCTTGTGATGAATAGTGAATGAGAATTTATCATTTGTAAATCTATTGAAAGAACTTATGATGATTGTAAAGTGATTCAAAATTCTTATGAAATAACGGAAGAGCCTAACAACATTGATGGTTGTCTAGAAATAGTTGAATGTGGTAATGGTGAGGGGGTAATTAAGGCAAGAGATTATTAGAAGATTGGTTAAGCTCAAATCCAATGAATTGAGTTGAGGAAGTTGAGAAGGCAAAAGATGAAAAATCTATCTAAAATGATGAAGGTGAATTAAAAAAGAAAGATGAGAAGTATGGTGTTAATTATGAAGACATTACGGACCATCTTGATTACTCATGAAAGAAGAATCTAAAAGGTCACAAAATTAAGAAAAAAATAGAAAATCTACAAATAGAGTAGGAAGAAGGTTTTAAAGATTCCATTGTGTATTTATGATCCTTCTGTGATAATTGAAAAAGATAATAGCATCTCAGATAATGATATTTGACTGGTGAATTCATTGTATAGAGCAGAGACTATCAAAACTTGGGAGCTTAGGAAATGGCTTGCGTTTTCATTGAATGGTGATAAAGCAATTATTATTGACAAGCTAATGGAAATGGAACGGAAGGATCTTGTTGATAACGCTAGCAGTTAGTATTCGATAGTTGTCACATGGTGGTTTTATATTTTATGATAGGGTGGTCGATTCTATCATCGATTGGCTGGTACTTGCTTTCTATCTCTGAATCCATAAGCTTATCCTTTTTTTTTTGTTTTATGATTAGCTTTTTATTTTTTCCTTCAAAACTCAAGTATGGTAGGCATTTTCATAGTTGATCACATTCTGGATTTTTGTTTTATATCTTGATCGTTCTTAACTATTCTAGAGAGTTGGTAAGATGTTTTTCTTCGATTTACATTTAGGCATTCTTTGATACTTAAATGGGTTTGTATTGGTTATTTGGATCTTGTCTTTGCTAGTCTAGATTAGCTTTGTAACCTTATGGTTACTTTAATAAATTTTGGCTAAGCACAAAAAAAAATAAAAATGAAAGCCCATATAATTAATTATGATAATTTATGTATGGGCTTTGCATATCTTATTGGGTCAATGTGGTTTGACAGCTGTGTAAGCCTTTCACATAGTAAATTTTTGATGATGGGGTTTATAGGGTTTTAATAAAAATTGGCTAAAGTTCTCTCTTCACTTCTAAATAATGATATCTACCCATTAAAAGTTGCTTGTAAGAAAAGAGCGAAAAAAAAAAACCTAGTCTTTTCAATAATTGATGTTGCTTTCACTTATCATTTATGATTGCCCAATCATGTATGCAATATGATCAAATTTGGTATTCTAATATTCACATATAATTCTTGAAATTTAAAATTATGCTTACATGTGGTATTAGAGCCTAATTATGAGATATTAGGATCCAAAATTATATTTTTAAATTTTAATTTCACTCGAAATTAAGTTTTGGGGTAAAATCTTGTGTTTGACACAATCCTACTTTGCAATTTTCTTTTCTTAAAATTGACTTAGGGCTTTTATTTTTCTTTGTTAGAAGATTGAAAACGAATGTATGGAATATTTCTTAATTCATCCTATAGAGAGAGAAATCAAAATTTGAAGATTTAGGTTCAAGATTTAAACCTAATTCAAGATTTAATTACAACCTTGATATTTTATGTATTTTAATTCAAATTCGTCCTTCAATATTGTTACCCATGTATTATAAGGATGAGTCAATGTGTTAGATTCTATAAAATATAAGTTTACGTGGTTAGATATTAAGAAAATTGAAGTGGGTAGTACACAGTTTTCTTAAACCAAAAATATTTTCTGCAGTTCATGAATATTCATGCGTTTTCAATGTGTTTTTTTGCATGATTTTTGTAGATACATGTGTTAATTGAAGTTTAGTACATTTAATTGCATTAAAACACAAAGAAAAGAAATCAAAATTGAAAAAATAAATCAAGAAACAAAAGCTAGTTTGGCATGAATATTGAACCTGAAAATGTTTTGCTTAATTTATCTTGATTTAAGCTATTTTCATACAATTTAAAGCATGGCTTTTGTAAATTCATGTGTTAATTAATGTTTAAAGGATTTAATTGCATCAAAAATCAAAGAAATGCATGAAAAATTGAAGAAAAAAATTGAAATAGACTAGAATAGGTTAGAAACAGCCTCAATTGGGTTGGATCGACCTGGCTAAATGTTGAAGAAGCTTGACCCTGACGTTAGGA